CCCGCAGCTTTTATAGGTCCGGAGATGAAAGTGCGTGACAGACGCACACACAGACAACCTCTCGTCGATATGCGTTTTTATGCGTTTTTGCTGTGCAGCGCTATAGCAGGGCTATAGCGCTGCTACAGCCAGCAAAAACGCATGTTGTCGAGAGGCTGTCTGTGTTCAGGAAGCGAGTACATTTTGTCAACCACTTTCATCTCAGCAACCAAGAAAGTTAGGGGGCTGAAACATTGGATATATGTTCCTACCCCATGTGTCATCCTCCCGTTTTAAGATCTTTCTCCATGCGCGCCTAGACCCCGTGTGCGGGACTCCCGTACGGGACCTCCAAAGAATTATGTTGGCGGGAAACGATTTTGCGAGCCAGGCAACGTAGAAAGCCGAAACTTTGCGGGGATATTCGCTATGCATGTGCGAGCTAAAAATTTTAAACTCAGCTCTCTAGCTCCCCAAACACAGCCTCAAGCAGCTCCTGAACCGAAAAATCGTTAGCAACTCGGACCTGAACCGCAGCTGTATATGCAAATGAACATGGATTTTTTGAAAAACGACCGTTCGAGCAATACTTTCAATTTTTATTAATGAATTGAAAACTTGCATATTTTCGAAAATTCATTCTCAGCTCGGACCTTAACCGTAATCGTATATGTAAATGAACGCGAATTTTTTGACGAAGACCGCTCGAGCAATACTTCCACTTTTTAGCGAACTGAAAATTTGCATTTTTCAAAAAATTTGAATTTGTCATTTCTTCACAAAGCGAGCATTTACCGATAAAACGACCGGACTTCATGCTAAAAACCGGTAATCATACATCTGAATACCCGTGCTGCTCTATAATGCACTACCTTCATCCCAACTGACACCTTTCCTGCTGCATGCCGGAAGAGTTCAAAGCACGGGCAATATGAGCCCAAGTGTTAGACTACTGCGTAGGGATCATTCCTGCTAATAGCGATCTGACAGTTTAGTGCAAAAACGCATGATCGCACCGGAGAGTCTGGTGCTTTCCAACCTGGGTTGTTAACTGATGTGCATATTTAACGTCATATATTTTTAATAAGGCTTTTTTTTTGAGGGAGGTTTCAACGGGCTTTCATGTCATTCTTTTTCATTTCCTACCTTCCCAAAGAATTCGAAGCAATACGTACTCCATTCTTCGCCCTTCACCTACATGGCATAATGCACAAATACTTTTAGCTTGCAGTAAGAATTAAGGAAAGTATGTACTGTAGTGGTGATTGCTTTCCACTACATTGATCTGAGGATTTTCGGGACTTTTTGTGGCTGAATTGAACTTTTGCGAATCTTTGAGGAACTGATCATGTCTTCCGAATGGCTACCTTTGTGTCCACTCTTGAATATAACTAAACGTGCAAATGCGGGTCCAGCCAAATCCAAATTATTGGCATTTCCTGATTCTGGACACTCTTAGTTCTGTGATATTACTTTTCGTCATCGTCATCCTTTTAATGTTTTGTGTTTCTATTCGTTTCGACGGGCACATTTTGTACTGTCCTGTACTATTTGT